ATCCCCGTTAAAATCCCCGAATTCGTTCCCGATCCCCGTCCCGTCCCCGATCCCCGTCCCGTCCCCTCCCCGATAAAATGTCCCCGAACCCGGCCCGAAAGTTTCGGTTTTCGGTTTTCACCGTCGGTTTCGGTTTTTTTTGCCATCCCTAATACATAGTAGTCTTGGCTCCTGGGCTTTTTTTATTAAATAAAATGAAACATCTTCAATTAATTAAGATTTTAAGTATAAAATTCTTTTGAACTTCTATATTATTGTTGATTCAGTCTATTTGTGTTCTTTGTTGAATATGTTAAAGACTTTTTTGCCTTTGGATGAAAAATGTATAGCTTATAATTAACCCGGGTTATTTTTGTAATTTTGTATATTCAAGTTTAACCTCCAACTCTTGATTTGCTCTTCCATTTACTTTCTTTTATTTCTTAATGAAATTTGTTTTTCAAAGTTTCAATAATAAACAAAATGAAATCATATAAAATTCTTTGGTGAGGGATGAAGAAGGTGAGAGTTGAAGAAGAATTCAAAGATTTTAAAAGGTATGTAGAAATTATATTCATTAAAAAATATGATATGTTATTACATATTTCTTTTTCAATATTGTTGGATGTATTTTTATCATAGAATATGATTGTGTTTACGATTGGATCATCTAAATTGTGTTTACGATTTGATCATATAAATTCGAATAAAATTTTGATATTTTATAATCACAGGATATGATAATTTTTTTTCGAATTTAAGCTTCATTAACAATAACTATTTATACGTGATTGATAATTACGTTAAATTTTGACTACTTCAAGATTTTTTCAATTAATAGAAATCCTGTGGTGAGTAATGAAGAAATAAAAGTTGAAGAAAACTTAAAAGCATTTAAAAGATATGTAAAAATTATATTATTACAAACTGTGATTTGTTATTACATATTTTCTTTTCAATATTGTTGGATTTGTTGTTATCTTAAAGAATAAACCATTAGTGTTTGAGGTGACATCTCCTAAAGCCTAGAACCTCATTTTTCTTTTTTCTCATTCATTCTCTCAATATTCACTACTATTTTTTTGTCAATTTATGGTTTTTTGTTAAATGTTTGGATTCAACTCCAAACCATTCATCTTCTTCTGTATTAATTTTAATGGCATAACTCCAAACCAATAATCTTTTCTCATCAATCATTTATATATATATATATATATATATATATATATAAACAACTATTTATTCATCTTCATCTCTCACACCCTCATATATATATATATATATATATATATATATATAAACAACTAGTTCTTCATCTTCATCTCTCACACTCTCTCAAATTATATTTATATTACATATATCTCTAATTTATTTTCTTTCTCTTTGGTTTTTCTTCTATTTTACTATTGATAATCTTCATAGTTTTTTGTTTTGTTTTTTCACTTCTCCCATAATTTTATGTATGTTTGTATCGTTATTTAGATTGCATTATATTTTTTATGCATTATGTCATGAAGATTTGAAGAAGTCTTCAAGTTTAATATTTGATTTTTTGGTTGCAATATAAGGTAATAATTTTATATTGATTTGTTTCATGATTTTGATTGCATTAAAATTTTATTTATGTTTGTATCGTGATTTTTGTTTGCATTAAAACTCTTATGTATTAGGTGAAGATTTAAAATGTTCAAGTTCACTATGTAATTTTTACTTATGTTGAACGTTTTTTCGTTTGCAGGTTTTCGAGTTCTTTATCGTTTATATATAAAGTCTTGAGAATTTGAAGTTTTCAAGTTTGGGTTGTGGGAATTTATGATTATGATATAAGGTAAGGATTTTATGCAAGTTTGTTTTGTAATTTAGAGTGTATTATGATCCAATGTTATGCATGTTTGTATCATAATTTTGATTGGATTATATTTGTAAATATGTTCTTATCATAAGTTTAGTCGTATGATAATTTTATGTATGTTTATATTGTGATTTTCATTGCATTATAATTTTATCTATTGGGTTATAAAGATTTGAAGTCTTTAAGTTTGGTATGTGATTTTTTACATATCGTATGGTTGGTCCATTCACTATTATGTTTTTAAAATCAAGGTGTGTGTTTTTTAGGATAAAAAATGGTATATATACATCATCATTTGAAGGAGACTTTTATGTGCAGTATTTTTTATTCTTTAGTTTGTGTCAGATTCTGAAAAGTCCAGATTTCATACGAATCTTGAAGCAATCTTCATTAAATCTCAAGAACAGAATATGAATTCAATATAGATTGGAGAGAGAGAATAATTGCTGTCAAATCACCTTTT